ACCTTATGGTCTCAAAGGCAACGTAACCAATCTGGCGAATTTCAATGTGAAAAAACTGAAAAATATAACATGCTATATTTGACTCTGTAACTTTCCAAAACACCATAAAACCTGTACATAGGGGGTACTGTTTTACACATGAGACATCGCTGAATACAAATATGTATATTTTATTTCAGTAAAAGCAAACAGTATTCTGACATTCACCGCTAAAATGTCATGCAGAACTAAAAAAACTTCTTCCATTTTTTGAAGATTTGATTCATAATAAATTATGTTCCATACCTAAATATTTGATGTTAAATGAAAACCCCATTTCCCCTGAATAAAATGATATATAATAATTGTGGGTGCACTTAGTATGAAAGAGGTAAATTATTGTTGAACAAACATATAGTAAAATTCTGTGGTTTGTTTACATTTTTTTTGGACCACAACAAAAACCAGATCGTCGATGATGGCCCACACTCTATTAACAATTACAAATATATGTATTTATTTGTAATTGTTGGTAGAGTGTGGAGATATCTGCTTCTATCAGGCACTTTTTGAGGCTTTTAGATATGTTGTAACGTGCATGTCATTTTATTACAACCAGAAGCAACCAGAGAGTGCACTTTCATAGAAAGACTGAATATCATATTGCAGTTTTAATGACGATTAGAACTATAATGTTCACACATTCTAACTTCATTGTTAGCCACAAACTTAACATTAAGGAAAGACAGCAGCGCTTTGCACTCGGACATCCTTTACTTGACTTCCAGAGGAATGTGAATAGAGGCTTTTATTGGCCCATATCTTCGTTTATTTATATACGCAGACAGCTGCATATTTTCCTTTCACAAGCCAAATTAACTGCATCTAAAGCATGATTTGGGATTCTCTTCTACTTAAGCCAACATTTGGGAGTTGCCAATTAAGAAAATGTCTGTTCCTAACAGAAAACAGAAGCAGCAGACATCTAATATGCCCATATTAAGGGATATTTAGCAGGGACATTTCAAGCCCTTTAAACTAAAAAGCTTATGTTAATACCTTCTGGCTTCCAAATATGTCTCATTTGTTTTCTGAACTCCACGTGAAATATAGGATGTTTACCTTTTTTATTTTGTAATGTTTACTAGCAAATGTTTATTTCCGAGTTTAAATATTTAAGTAATTGTTATATGTTTCACTGATGAAAATCCATACAAATTTAAAGTGATGCTGTCAGTAAATATTGTATTACTTAAAAAAAAGATTTAAACAACAATTGTTGCAGAAGTTGTATTGATTGTTAGACACTGGGCCTTCCCCGTTTTCCAATAACAGTGCCCTTTCAGAGAGAAAGAATTAGACCAAAAAAATGTAACTCATCCACCATTATAACATTTTATTATAGTTTAAAACTATCTTAAGTGGTAGAATTTAAAAAACAAAACATAATAACCATGTTTTAATGAGAAATGAAATCCTTTAGTGATATACATATCGTATCATATCTTTAAGCATATTTTCAACCTTTGGAAAATTTGTCTTCCAATGATGTAGCCATAGGTCCTACATTTTCATTTTACCAGCAGATATTTCCTGTTTTAGCATATAAAATGATCCTGACTATATTTACCAACAACAGCCCATTGTGACAAGTGGTCAAGCTAATCCCATGATTTCACGAGGTGGTGTGTTTTCTGTTGTGAAAAGGTTAAATATCTATATTAACACTGTTGTAGTGTACACTGCTGCAACTTCTATTAATGAACACACAAATACTACACTAAGACATTCATTGGCGTATGATTCTCAGTGGCTCCCTCCAGAGGCTAAAAGGTTAATGTACATTTCATCTGAGGTCCTTTCATCTGAGCGTCTTTTTTTAGTCATCAAAGTTTGTTTGGTCATTTCATCAGCATGGAAAAAAACAACCAACATGTTCCAGAATAAACATTCCTCTATCTCAAGTCTGTTTACAGTCATTTCTTTCATTAGACCAAGGATCAAACCCACGTCAAAATTTCCAGGTGCACAGATTTTTACTGTATGTTGTTTGATGTAAATCAAAGTTTAATGCATGTTTTTAATGTCTTTGACTGCACATAATGTCCAGTATCCCACATTCTTAAATACATAAATGTATGTCTCAGTATATCATGCTCCCATTATATTATGGAACCAACAAACTAAAAATAAAAGATAAAGATCACACAAAACAAAGACTGAAGTACATAAATAATCAATAACCTGTTCCATGCTAATCACTGGATATACTTTCTACATCAAATAAGTAAAACCTCTGTAAGGTTTGAGTGATAAGAAGTGTTTCAGAAAAATAACCTTAAAGGGATACTCCAGGCACCATAACAACTTAGTTGAAATGACAGTGTTATGCTGCAAGGATGTCCCTGGCTTTGGCTTACATTTAAGGGTTAAACCATTCATGAACAGAAACTTTTTTTTTTTGTAAATCTGTTGTTCTTGAAAAGTTTTACTTATAGTCAATACATACGGCAAGAAGGGTTGCATTTTGGGACACGCAGGTCTCTTTCATATCATCAATATGAGAATACTATCCACATCGTTTTAAGGTTTTTGACTTGTGCAAGGGTCAAAGCTGTGAATTGGTCCCCTGAGACTTTTGGCTTAGAAACAAAGCCTTTTCCATGCCCCTCACTCCGTACTCCTCTGAGGGGTACAGGGCATCCATCTCCGAGTCTTATGGTCATTCTCAATTTGTGATCCTTCTCAATTTGTTGGTTATGCTTTAGGCTCGGAGCCTGCGTTGCTTATGCTTAGCGTCCCCGTTAATTTATTATGTTCCGTTTCGGTGCGTGTTCCCTTTTATTCAGTCTAATGGGGAAGCGGCTATTGTCTTTGTTTTAAGAGGTGTGTAAGTGGTATCGAGGGTGGTTAAAGGTGGTATTTCAGGACTTGTAGGTATCTTCCCTTCTGTGTTCTACAGTTGGTGTGTTATGTGTGTGTAGGAGGGGGCGGTATATGGTCCATGCTAAGAGGGGACTGGAGCCCGCGCATCACCCCCGGCCCTGGGGTCCCCCCATTCCGTAAATATCGGGAAACATATATAAACCACGGTTGCCATGCTTCCACATGTTTGGTTTCCCTACCTGTCAGGGAGGCATGGAGCTCTTCTGCACCCTGAATGTCCTCCACTTGCCTGATCCACTCCTCTTTCGTTGGAACCTCCATCTTTTTCCAATAGGCCGGTATGGAGGTCTTAGCTGCGTTCAACAGATGGCGCATGATCGATTTTTTTGTAGCTCGATATTGGTTGTTGAGAGATATGTAGGAGTGTGGGTTCCGCTGACCAGTCTGGGACTTCTCCCAATACCAGAGTCACCTCGTTTTTTATCATTTCCCAGTATGACATTCCCACCAGATATGTAACAGCGTGCCTCTTTCTGTTTGGCATCTCCAGCACGTTGGTGGTGTTGCCGGGAAGATTCGCTGTATCACGGTTGGCGTTCTATACCAGAAGGAAATCAATTTATATTTAACCTCCTGGTAGTGAGAGCTCATTGAGCTCTTGTGTTGCCACAGGAGCACTTTGTCCCATTGTGGTGTTGTGAATGTTCTACCGAGCGATTCCTCCCACTCCCTTCGAAATGTGTTATTGTCTGTTCAGTCATTCGTAACTAGATGTTGGTATAGCGCAGATACCGCATGATGCAGCCCAGAGCCCCGTTCACAGAAAAATAAAATGTTAAAATATTTACCCATTTAGTAATTTTAAAAAAGGTAAACATTTAAATATTTAAAATATGAGAAATATTTATCCTATTGGTTACTATCTGTCTCTTCCCACTATAGTATAACTTCATGCCAAGAAATCGCATAATTCTAAATCAGAATTGAGGTCATGGGGATACAAAGTTTCTTGTTGGTATATCCATCTCATTTCTTTTCTTCCCAGTTCTTTTATATGGTCGGTTCTTCACCAATATGCTGGGACCTGGCAAATTGCTCCAAATTCCAGTAGCCAAGCATGTCCATTCTTTGCTTCTGCAAAGTGGGCTGAAACTGCGTGTTGCAAAAATGTTATGTAAGATGAACAACATCAGAAGAATATCTAAAGGACTTACTTATTTTAGGTGGACTTTGCTATTACTTTTTATGAGGACATACCTAGAACCTAAGCTATGAAACAGTCTCACTTTTTTGTTTTATATTTTAGCAGATGCTTATAAAACCACAATACAATTCTATAATTCTCTTCGGTAACATGATTCTTATGCCAGACAAAGGCAGAACATTTATAAATAAAAAGTAGTGCATACAAATACAAAATGTTTTACAAATCAACTTACACAAAACAAACATACAATATTAAAAATGAGGAAATTAATAACAACCAAGAAAATAACTAGTGAAATGCAACTGTCCCAAGTTAGTTTTGGTGATAAATGGAAATCCACTGGAAATTTGATTTGGCTCTCAAAATGGATTACCAAGTTTTTATGTCTGGTCAAATTATATATTCTTTTTTCCTCATTTCAATTTCTAGGCAAGCACTCCTGAGGAGGGGTAAAATGGGGTTCATAGATCCTAGCTTTATGACTCACAAATAAAGCATCCAAACCTGGCTGGAAAATGTACAATGCAGTATAGTTGTGTACAGATACTCATCATCCATTTGTAGCCAGGATAGATTATACAGACAATTACTTTAAGACTATATATATATATATATATATACATACACATACACACACACAGAGTATCTCACAAAAGTGAGTACACACCTCACATTTTTGTAAATATTATTATATCTTTTTATGTGACAACACTCTGACACTCTGCTACAGTGAAAAGTAATAAGTGTACAGTCTGTCCCGTTGTCAGGATTACTCCATGCTGTTTCAGAACTCCTCTATGTTGTTTTAATTCCAATCGGCATTACCCGTATGACTTCTGGGTTTTGCCGATCAGTCTCCGCCCATGCATCTGATGTCACACGCCTTCCTTCAAAAGGAAGCCGCAACAGCATCAAAAGAGCTCAATCAATCTCTCTTGTGGTTTGATGTGCTCTAGCTACTTGCTACTTTGTTGCTGCTTCGCTACAGAACTCTGCTGACCTGATATCCTATGTACCAAACCTCTGGCATTTATCCTGGCTACGCTCTACTCCCCTCTCCCTCTCAAGGAACAAACTTAACTTTGGATTCTTATCTCTCTTCACTTACTTCAAGGAACCATAATTCATTCTATTCTGGAAAGGACTTCAACTCCCATCATTCATGAATGGAAAGATAAGTTCACCAATGATTGAAATTATTAATTGGTTCTTACCTTGAGTTATATATGAACTCACCATTATTTTCCAGCACTGCCTTAACCCTCATGGACATGGAGATCACCAGAGCGTCACAGGTTGCCACTGAAGTCCTCTTCCACTCCTCCTCTGGATGTTAGAGACCCTGCACTCCCCCACCTTCCGTTTGAGGATGCCCCACAGATGCTCAATAAGATTTAGTATTGTGCTCATTTAAACAACCACACCATCTTTTTCCAGAGCAGCCTGCATTTCTCCTGAGGTAACCTGTGGGTTTTTCTGAACAATTCCTCTGGCAGTTGTGGCTGAAATCTTTCTTGGTCTACCTGACCTTGGCAATCTTATCAAGAGATCCCAGAGTTTTCCACTTCTTAATAAGTGATTGAACAGTACTGACTGGCATATTCAAGGTTTTGGATATCCTTTTCCATCTTTATAAAGTTCCATTATCTTGTTACGCATGTCTTTTGACAGTTCTTTTCTGCTCCCCATGGCACAGTATCTAGCCTGTTCAGTGAATCCATGTGAGAGCTAACAAACACATTGACAATTCATACACAGACACTAATTGCAATTTAAAGAGCCACAGGTGTGGGAAATTAATCTTTAATTGCCATTTTAACTTGTGTGTGTCACCTTGTGTGTCTGTAACAACACCAAACATTCAAGGGTATGTAAACTTTTGATCAGGATTATTTGGGTGAATTCTGTTGTCATTATGATTTAAAAAGAAGCCAAACAACTATGTAATAATAAATGGCTTCATATGATCACTATCCTTCCCAAAAATATTTTTTTTTTAGCATGATCAGTCATATTTTGAATATCAATGCCAAAATGTACAATTTCTGCCAGGGTATGCAAACTGTTGAGCACAACTGTACATACATACAACAAGATAAATATTTTATCTATAATGCCGCCAAAATAGAACAGCATCTAAAATCACTTCCTACACTTTGAGTGAATGATCCTTTATTGAAATTACAATACACATAGCAAGATGTTTCTCAAGCTCTCTGACAGTTTATCTGGCCACCTTAAAAAAAACCTTCTAACCAGATACCTGTTGTAAATTCCCACATGTTAATCAGCTTACACACATTGCAAATAAAAAGGCCTTAATTTACAACCATTTTCCTGAAACTCCAACAAAGGGGTGTTTCCCTCCTCGAGCTTTTTGAGATCTGGAGTTGTGCTCTTCCTTTCTACATACTGATAGAGAAGGATGCTGAATTTACACTTACTCTTCTAGTCAATGACTGTTGTGAAACCAGAATTACTGAAAAGACTATCTTTAGTAGCAGCATGTTTGTTATGCTTTCTACTACTAAAATACACTAAACGGTGTCTACCTTTTTTCCTCCTATTTTTAGTTTGTGAATTCTGAATCTATGAAGACAATTTTTTTTTTTATTTTTTTTTTAAATAACACCTATAATAGGATTCAGATTGTATGGCAGTTTATGAAATTTATAGTAAAAAAAGGGTCTAGCCACATACTAAATAGCTCGCTAGGTCTGAGATATTTATTTTGTTTTGGTTAATTTCAAGTAATTTGCACTCTATCCATAAACCATTGAAATTTCCTTCTCAGTACGTAAACACAGTTTGTTGTTTGGAAATCTATCTTTGAAACCAGCTTTGAAAGGCTCTGCTTTAATACAGCATCATGCTGTGATGTTTGGTTTATTATTAGTCTATATAAGGTGTAGGCAACCTACGGCACTAGTGCCATGCACAGCACTCAAGGTGTCTTTGCACGGCACTGAAGGCTGCTAGAGCCAAACAGGCACTGGCCTATCAGGCGTCCCAGTGAAACTTCAGATATCTGCTAATACGAAGAGGTGGTGAAGGACAATCCTCAATTTATGCATTGCAGCACATAGAGTAAGTGATCTCAGATCAGTTCCTCCCAGCACTTGTGAATGGGAATCCACACTGTAGTAGAGCAGCCTGCAGCTGCTGTTGCAGCTCCTGTCCTTGACCTGTACCTGGCCAGCCTGGTCCCCACTGGAACCCAGGGGAGCTTCCCACACTGCTAGATATACACAGAAATGCACAATAACCCTCCCCTCATACAAATAATATAAACAGCCCACACACACACACACACACAATACACAATCCCCACAAACGCAACACCACAAACAATCCACATACATGCACACAACCCCACATGCAGCCTCTCACATGCAATACCCCAAACAGCCCCATACATACACACACTACCAAACACACAATGTGACATATCCATCCACACAGACAATTCCACAAGCAGCCCCATACACAGCCCTCATTCATATGTATCATACACAATACCACAAACTACTCCTGAACATATACAATATAATAGCTCATATACGCACAAATACAAAGATACAAAGCAATTACAGTATAAATAACACAAGCAGAATACAGCAGCATACACACCTCAATTTAAAAAAAATAGGACCAGCACGCTATGGGACATCACAATCCTACATCGGCACAGTGCTGCTAAAAGGTTGCCTACCCCTGGTCTATATTATGGTATCCACTGTGTCCACTGTGAATTGTGTCCAGATGAGGCTGTTTAAAATATGGGTAAATAATTAACAAACAGAACGGGAAAAATCATTGGTATCTGAATAATTCCCAAATATTATGTTTATGGCATCAAAGGCAATTTAAAAATTCTGGGAAAATAGCTTCCAATAAATTCTTCTTATTCCATGCTATGCGGAATGCCACTGCAAATATTAAGAGAGCAATTATTGTAGTTTGATTTAAACACATGGATGGAATGGAATGGATCCAGGTAGGCAAACAGTTGGTCATAACAGCTAAATTGCATTTTCCAGGAATTTACCTATTACAAGAATGAGAACTAAAAAACTGTTTACCAGGTATATTCTCAGTTTTTGTGGATCAGTTCAACTCTTGTTGTTTTGGTATATGCTGGGCCTTACATTTTTAATCTACCTAGTGGTGTCCTTATTTTGTAGTATTACAAAATCAAATTTAGAAAAAAAGATTGTTATTATAAGACTCAATATTTGAAAGAGCCACCAGTGGGTATAAAGTGCATCTGTTAGTATTTGTAAGTAAGTCTCTACCAGTATCATGCATTCTTCAAGTTTTAACAATTTTCTAAGCACAATTACTCAAGCTGTGATTGTTAATGATCTTTGATAGTCCAATATTTTCCCATCAGGAGCAGCCTTTGATCAGGAAGACAGCCACTAGAGGTGTGTTAACTTTATAAAACTGCAATACTTTATATTGCAAGCTGAAAACTACAGGGCCACTGCATCCAAACCGTTTCATTGACATGAAGTGGTCTGGGTGCCTTTAGTAGTTCTTCAATTTGTTTAAAAAAAAAAAAACATGAAAGAAACTACATATGCGCATATAAAACATATTGTCTGGAGAATAAACATTTTAAAAATTCAAATGCATCTCCTAACCTCTGCATGCATATGAGAAGAAACAAAATCTAAACACAATAAGGAATCCCCTTGAATTGTTTGTAAAGTTGTGTGTAAAATAATGAAGTAATAATAACCTTGTGTAGCAACAACTCACCCCTCGCACACACTTCTATCTAAATCATGAAAATTGTAGGATAGTGTAGGATGGTGTAGAATGGGGAAACTTTAAGGTACATGCACACTAGTAACGTGCAATAAGTGAAGAAGGAAATTATTATAACGATAGACCTCCATTGCTTCCTTTGTCCAATGGACTGTGGAATGTGTCATATAGTCCATGAAGAACATGGATTTTTTAATGCACCAATATACCACAAAAATGAATAAGCTTGGCTTTCCTTTCCAACCTCAATAAACAAAGAAGTACCTAATGTACTTAAAGCCCAGGGTTGATTTGATTGTAGACATCCCACTTTGGAACTTTGAAAAGTAAAGGGACATTCCACATTTCCATAGCCTATGTCCTCTGAATGAAACAACATGGCAAGAAAGTTTCACTTCCTCATTATCTATCTAAAATATCTTTACATGGCACAGCAGAATTTGCAGACGCTGATTTGCTTAAGCCCTTCTACTAAATTGACATAGGTTCCCTTATTTGTTTGTGGTCTCAGTTTGTGTGAAAGTAGTTGGATTGTGTGTATTGTGTGAATGCAGCACTGTATTTTTGTGTTGTAAGTATGTGAGAGTCTGAATGTTTTTATGCCCTTTATGGTCTCAATTATCCTTCCCCTCTGGAATTTCTCTTAAAACTCCCAACTTCCTGTAACCCTAACTTGCAAAGAGTATAAAAGAACAGACAGGAGGAATTCTGAGCAGGGCGGATATGTACAACAGTTACTTAGAGCGATCAGGTTATATGACCATGAAACACAAGAATGCTCAAAACACAAACTGGGACATGGAGTGCCAGGGATCTATCCTCTTCATCTTCTGAGGAGGATTTGGTCCCAGTTTTAAGCAAAAAGTATAAAGGAAGGCGGCTGGTCTCTTCCGCCAGTTTCTCGTCTGAGGAAAACTTTTCTGCTCCTCCTTCCCCTCATACTTGTTTGAGTAAGCATAAAAAGACCCCAAAAAAAGAATAGCACCAGAAATACCTTTTGAGCACCAGAAATACCTTCCAGAGAAAAAGGACAAATCTCGTTGGAGGTTAGATAGTCCCTCTCCTTCCTCTTCTCGAGCGTTAGCTCACTCTTCTTCCCAAAGCCTTTCCAGTTCCAGATACGGCTCTCCAGAAATAGACTGGGAATCCGAGGAAGTGGTACGTTCAGCAGCTTCCACTGAGCAAGGGAAGCTAAGCAATGTTCATATGGCTAGAGTAAGTCTCCTAGGAAAGACTCTCCCATCAAAATTATTTCACTCTAGATGGGCTATGGAGCACGATTCTGAGGTTAGAGATTTCGCTAAACTAACCTTCAGAGCCCCCTTGGTTAAGGAGGATGACCTTCTCCTCAGGAACCACATTGGTATCCCGGACATTCAGGCTTTAATGGCTCCAGAGGTAGATCCTGCTCTGTTATCTATCACAGGGAGCAGCGTATCCTCTGATCCCACAGACCAGACTTTTCACAATATACAGTTCAAAATTGCTGATACTGTGGACCCACTATTACTGATGCTGGATAAGGCAGAAAAAGAAGGCAATGCTCAGAAACCTTCTGCTTCATCTCTGTTGGCATCTAGGGTGGCTCTTTTAAAAGCGTCTGGCAGGGAAGTGCTAATTATTGGCCAATCCTTTAATTACATATCAAACATCCACAGATCCCGCTGGCTCCATGCAGCAGGTCTGTCCGACCTAGCCCCCAAATCGCATGAGTTCACAAATTTGGAGGATTCTTACCTATTCAGTCCCTTGTTAATTCAGGAGGTTAAAGGCTGTTACAAGGCAAGGAGATCCTTTTCAGAACTCAAGATGTCTGTCCCTGGCTACAAAAAGCCCTTTTGGACAGAGGGTCGCCCCTATAGGGCTGCAGGAGCATCCCGAAAAGCCTCTCACCAGGCCCAGTACCGCCATTACAGTGGAAGACACAAGCTCCCGGGCGGTGGCAGAGGAGCGCATTCCAGAGGCGGTTCAGCTTCCAAAAGAAACCCCATGCATTCAAGTAAGTGTGCCTCCTCATATGCCACTAAATTGGAAGGATATTTTCTCAGACAAATGGGTTCTAAAGATTTTTCAAAGGGGTTTACAACTCCCCCTTTTAAGGTTCCCTGTCCAGATATTTGCACTCCACAGAGAGTTGAACCCAGTGCTAGATGCCTCCCTTTCCTTAGTTTTAAGTCAAGGGAAGATAGAGTTGACAGAAATGTCTACAGGATGGGTCAGTCCATTGTTCCCAACCCCAAAATCAGACGGTTCCTGGAGACCGGTCCTAAACGAGGTCTCTGAACGCTTTCATCAAAAGGAAAAGGTTCAGGATGGAGGGTTTATCAGATCTTTCAGGCTTTGTACAGAAAGCTTTTTTCTGCATAAAGTTAGACCTAAAAGATGCTTTCCATTCAGTCCCCATAGCCAAGAAACACAGGCGTTTTCTCAGGTTTCAGTGGAAAGGGAAAGTGTGGCAGTGGACCGTTACACATTCTCCAGAATTATGAAATCAGTGATAGCTCATGTCAGACTAAAAGGTTTATTGTGTCTGTACTATCTAGACGACATCCTGCTCATGCACCCAGATGGGGAAGTCCTTGCTTCTCAAAGGGATTACCTTGCTTGCCTTTTACAAGACCTAGGATTTGTAGTAAATTTACAGAAATCAGCCCTAATTCCCACTCAAAGCATCCTCTTTCAGGGTTTCGTACTGAACACCAGGGCTATGTCTCTAGGAATCCCGCAAGACAAATGGGACAAATTACTGGTACATCTGACCTCATCCCTCAGGCACCAGAGTTGGTCCTTGAGAGACCTAGCAAAGATTATCAGGAAATTAATAGCTTTAACACCAGCATACTACAATTCCCCCTTACTTTGCAGAAGAAGTCAGCTGTTTTTAGGGAATCAACTAAGACAGGGCGGCCACTGGGAATCAAAATTCGTTCTCCCCAAGAAGGTCAGAGAAGAGTTGAAGTCCATTCTGGAGTTAGAAATTCCACTTCCTCGTCCCCTGTTAGAGCAGCCTGTGGCAGTCACTCTGATGTCAGATGCCTCAAGTCACAGTTGGGGTCCGTTTACAGCCCAGAACGCCATAAGAGGAATTTGGTCAGACCAAGAGAGTCACCTCCATATAAACATCTTGGAGTTAAGAGCTATAAAATTAGCTCTCCAGGGCCTAGTTCCTCTAAACCAGTCACCGACGTCGGTAAAAGTCCAATCGGACAACAGGACAGTGGTGGCTTATATAAACCACAGAGGGGGCACAAGATCAAGGAGTCTTTGTTTAGAGGCTCTAGATCTTTGGTCTTGGGCTTTAACAAGCAATGTTCAGGTTTTCGCAAAATACGTTCCAGGAGAGGCAAAGAGCTTGCAGACTCTCTCTCTCGCCAAAGTTTTTCCCTGGCAACGATTCAATTAAAGATTGCTCTATTCCAACGGAAAGAAAGCAATTTTGTCCAGAGACAGGTAGATCGGTTTGCATCCCAAACATCTGCACAAACTCCCAGGTTCGTCTCCTGGACCTGGACAAAGGGAGCTTGGAAAATGGATGTAATGTCTTTCCAATCAACAGATGTTCCAGCCCCATATGCTTTCCCCTTCCACCTTTACTGATGAAAGTGCTGGAGAAGATCTGCATGGACAGGGTACAGAGCTTAGTTCTTGTTCATCCAGTATGGACCTCCAGACCCTGGTATCCCTTGATTCATCAGTTAGTCAAGGGAACCAAGATCCCATTGGGCATGACAGTGGACTGCTTTCAGGGAACCAGCGATCTTCTGCTCAAGCTCCCGCAGCTGATGTGGATCGCAGCCCTGGTAGGCTGTTAACACATCCCCTTTTATGGGATCAGGTCTTGGATATTATTAACTCATCTTTAAGATGTAGAACTGGGGTAAGATATAGAAAGATTATCGAGGAATTCAAAGAATGGGAGGTTTCTTTTCTGTCTAACACACAGGGATCTGATACCATTCCATTGGCTTGAGAATTTCTTACCCTTTACTTCCATACTGGTTTATCTGTCAGTTCAATCAAGACCTATGGATCTGCTTTAAACTTCCTGATCCCCAACCTTACTCAGGATGCCCTGTATCTGAGATTACTAAAAGGGTTATCCGTCTGCCGCCCATATACCCTACGCTACACATCTACTTGGGATGTAGACATCTTATTAAATTTCCTTAATTCTTTGGATAATGCTAAAATTGATTTAAGATGGACTGCTATCAAGTTGGCTGCTCTGCTGCCCTTGGCCCTGGCAGCTAGAGGAGCCGAGTTATCTCAAATCCATATTTCAGATCCTTGGTTGTCCAGGACCCCGGGAGCTTTCCATATTATACTAAACGGCAGACAAAAAACATCCCATTTTTCTCCTGCTCTGGTAGAATTGGATTTGGTTCAAGATCCTTCTGAACCAGGCTTATGTTTAGTCAGTTTGCTACAATCGTACCTTCAACTTTCTGCTGTATTTAGAAATGATATCAGTCAATTCTTCATTGCATCAAGTCATCCAGCCAAGGTTAATACAATTAGAGGCTGGATACTTTCCACCATGTCTTTGACTGGTATTGATGTTTCCGTGTTCAAAAGCCATTCAATTAGGGGAGCCTCGGCTACTAAAGCAGCAGGAAGGGGCCTTCCTCTCCCTACTATCTTGAAAGCTGCTAGATGGTTGTCCAGTAAAACCTTTGTTAGATTTAACTTGAGGCCATCAGAAGTTGAACGCCTTCAGTTTCTTAGGACCACCACCAGGTGTGTGCTATTCTACCCACTAGCTTTGCTAGGTGGTTATGCCTCCCGGAGGACAAAACAGAGTTTGCAGGAATCTATGATCATAACTACCTAGCAATAGCACCCATCCCACCCTCCTCTAAGTTAAGGGTTTTGTCTGCTAGTTGTAGTTTGTTTTTCTAAAACATAAGGTTATCTGGTGCTTATTCAGCCTATTGATAACTGTTCTCTGTTTTGTTTTTTACAGACTATAGCCGTATTTCAAGACAAGACCAACAAACCAAGGATCCACCTAAGTAGGAGGATTGGATGCTAGTAGTCTCGTCTGTATGATATTCTCATGGACTCCCTGCATAAAGAATCTGTTTGCTGGGACTTGTTACATTTCTTTTCTCTTTATTGAACTTATTTTGTTGCAATTTATGATGAATGGTCCCAGTGTTCATTTGATACTTTCCTTTGCTATACATTGTTGCCTTGTTTTCAGTTCAGCTGTTTGTTTTATACAAAGTTTCAAGTCTATCTTATATGTCTTCATGACTTATTAAACATTTTTCTTGTTCCCCTCTACTATTGGCTACTTGAATTGTTTTATTTTGTGTTTAGATGTATAATTATATTCCTATACACTTTGGGCAATATTTATCCTTAGTACTTCGTGGGATGTGCTAACCATCCGCAGTTTCCCAATTTTAAAAGTCTGAGACAATCAGGATTCCTGTGCTCAGCACTAATCTTCTGATTACCTGATTGGCTGAAATGCTGTTGCTGTGCAGATGCACAGCGCAAGCGTTTTCAGCTCTGGCATTTGACTCTGGGAGGCTGCCGCATACCCACTAGCTTTGCTAGGTGGTTATGCTCATCCCTAAGACAAAGAAAGTTTGCAGATCATAGATTCCTGCAAACTCTGATGTCTGCCACCCCATCTGTCCCCCTATTCTGTCTGGCAACATAATTTCTTAAGTGTTTAGTCCAATATATCTGTGCATCTCTCCTACTTCTCTTCCAGCTGTGTTTATTTCTACTCCCTCACCACAACTCTCCCCATTTGTTCTTCTTCCCCATTTTTTCACACTTGTGTCCCTGCATGTGCCTCTCTATGCTCCATCACCAACACTTATGTCTTGTTATAAGATACAAGGAAATAACCACTGGAAGCAGATGTTTTGCAAACCTACTAAATAGTGAGCCCTCTGGAACACCGAAAAATAGTGAAACATGTAAATAGGTGGGAATGCAAATGCAAAGGATCAGAGTATAAATTCCCAAGGAAAATTCCCAAGATAAATTAACAATGGAAAAATAATACAGCCTTGAGCGTAGTCTGTGGTGTCTATAAGAGATACAAACTGAACATAGTGTGATCAGTGTATACTGATGTAAAGACACACAATAGTTATAAAGAAAACTCACAAAGAGTAAGGGAATATCAGTCACATCATCCTTAATCAGGTGTGGAATGAAGTCTTCGATATAGTAGGATCTTCTTACACTTTAAGGTAAAAAGAGACCAGAAAATAGTGCAGATAGAAATAAAAACATAAGAAATGTATTGCAATTACACTTACAAGATCACAAGATAAAAAGGCATGTCTCTACTTCAAAGTGGACCTGGTAAAGTGAACTGATGCAAGTCCCCAGCGTCTGTATCCTACGCATTTCGTCCTGCACACATTCTCCATTTAAATACCCCACTTGGATTGAAGGAACCAATTTCAGCTGATGTATCTTCGCATTGTGTTTGTGTCACGCTGGGACGCATATGGATTCCGGATGGCTTCCGACATCACTTCCGTTTTCTGCTTTTTGGCTTTCACATGCGTTTCAAGCTGGGACACAAATATATGCGTCCAGCATATAACATAGAATGCAAATGTAGGAGGGACCTCAAAGCACAAAAAGGGCAGTTTCGTTTCAGGCACATCATGTGTCCTTTACGGACGTTTGTGAGCCATGGACCATCTTGTGAACTTGTAAGTGCAATTGCAATAAATTTCTTATGTTTTTATTTAAATTTGCACTATTTTCTCATTTACCTTGAGGTGTAAGAAGATCCTACTATATCGATGACTTTATTCCACACTTGATTAACGATAATGTGCCTGATATCCCCTTACCTTTTGTAAGTTTTCCTTATAACTATTGTGTGTCTTTACTTTAGTATACACTGATCACACTATGTTCAGTTTGTATCTCTTATAGACACCACAAACTACGCTCTCACAAAAGAAGTTTGTATTATTATTCCATTGTTAATACCTTGGGAATTTTCACTCTAATCCTTTGCATTTGCATTCCTACCTATTTGTATGTTTCACTTATGTCCCATTGCTGTTTATGCCTTTTTAACCTCACCGCACCTAGTTGTGTGTCTCTTTCCATTCTTCTCACCTCCTTGTCTGCCTCTTCAGAACCCATACTTCCTTGAGTGTTTTTTCATTGATGCTGCTCCTCCTTCTGCTGAAGTCATCCAGATGGATTATCTCAGCCAATCAAATGATTTTCTATAGGGAAACATTGAGTGCCCTACTGCATCATAGAAAAGCATTACAATTTTTCTCTATGGGAAGACTTACCGTCATTAATCTTTCTAATGACACTGGATGTGAAAATGTTTTACAGTGTTCTCTAACAAGAGCCACCAGTGGTTGTCTGATTGACAGTCACTAGAGATGCCTTGAGTAACAAATGTAAACACAGTGGTTTCTCAGAAACAGCAATGCTTACATTTATCACATTGCTGGGACAGTATCAAGTCACTAAGATAAGTACATTAATGAAACACTTTGTTGTTAGGAATACAAAGCTGTATTCCTAAAACGAAGGTGTTCCTCTGCCCATCCTTCCTTCGCCCCTCACACCCTAAAGGTTTAAATAACCGTTAAATTCACTCACCTTATTCTATGTTTTGCATTGCAGGGTTAAGAAGACAGGGACATTGCACCCTGGCCATTTCATTGAGATGAAGTGGTCTGGGTGTCTATAGTGTTCCCTTAAACTGCAATTGTGTGGTGATAATGTATTAATGAATTAAACATAATTAGATAAAAAGGCAAGAGAAATAAGTAAGGTTTAGAAAGCAGAGAAGCAAAGCTGCAAAAGAGGTATAAACAAGACAGGCTCTTGTCCATTTAAGTTTGCGTATTAGTTAATTCATTTTTTTTTGCACCAGATTCCTGTGTTCTGCAATTGTGGCCAAATTAGAACTGAATATTTCAGCATTCACTCAGGGAATAATTCTCTCACAGTTCCTTAAACATTTCCCCAAATTAAAAACTTCCAAAATGGCTTCAAGAACTGCTAACAGACATACAGTATGAAATAAAATGAATTAATTACAAAACAAACATAAACAGAGGAGAGCTAACCTTGACTTTTACCTCTTTTCCAGCTAACATTCCAACTTTCATTTGCATTTCTACGTACTAGAAGCTGGAAGAGGCCAATTTGGGAAAAAGAGTCTAAATAAATAAAGGCTACAAAACATCAAGAAGATGGAAACAACTGAAGTTAGAAATAGAGCTACAATTTTATAAAACAGTGTGCAATTACTCTTTATTACTATACAGGTTATATGATTATGATTAGGGATATAGATGCCAAAACCACACATTAAGATCTAAAAGAGCATTTGCACTGCCAGAGACATATGTGTTACCCTATTAGTGCCCCCCAGTGACTTGCTAGGGGGAATGTAAGGAAACGGGAAATAGAATCTTAAAAAGTGACTCTACTGTGTGTGCTTATTTGCATGATGTGCAATGTATAACACTCTGTATGGGAAGTAATTCATTTAGAGGCGAGCCTCTGTGTATGAGGCAGATATTTTCCTTGATTTTCACCCATGATATGCAAATGTTGCACCAGTATATATTTTGGAATATATACTCCATCTTGCCTTATTTATAATTAGTTGATGCTGTCTTGAATGTTTCCATTTGCGAAACAAGTCTGTGCCAAACTGAATAGGGCCAAAGACTAACAGAACAATCTATGTCTGAACAACAGTTTATTTTCATCTCAACCTGTGCTTTTATCAGAAGAGCTATCATTAAAATAGCAGGCCATTGCTTATAGACATGTGGACAAACTCAAAAATGGCAGTTATGTTTGTACTCATATGCAGTGCCAGATTAACATAGGGGCTGATAGAGCTGCAGCTCAAGGCCCAGGCCCAGGCCCATGGAATAGGCCCATTGATTTAAAAAAATATATATTTATATATATATTTTTTTTTACATTTTTCACACACTACACTTAGGGATTCCACCTGGCTTTTATTTTATTGGCACAGACAGTATTTGAGGCTGCCTGGCTGGTGCCAATATTGCAGTGATATTGGCAATACAAATGCTGGTATTTTTCTAAGTATAAACAAGAGATTACTATGCAATACCAGCACTGGCCAGTAGGGGTCGCTGTGTGTGGAGACAGGCAGGGATAGGAAGTTCCAGCATATCCCTCCCTGCCTATCTATACTCACTGATCTGCAGGGGTGCAGCTACAGAGAGTCCAGACAGCAACTCCCAGCCTGCAAAGACAGCCTACAGCTCAGGGAAGTAAGGGATGGGGGAAAGGCTGCAAGGAGACATACACTGAGACACTAAGGGACACTGGGAGACATTATGGCAGACACTGAGAAACTAAGGGACATTGGGAGACATTATGACACAGACACATGGG